GTGTTTGGTAGATCACATATACACTTTCATTTCTATTCAGTAGAGAAAGTTGCAGCAGAGAATATGAAGTGGAATCTTCATTAGTGACAAAACACATAATTCCAAGGCAAGTATATTATGTGAAATTAAAATGCATTGCTCAGATAACATCACCATCTATAGAACCAGAAGAAAATTTAGACTCATTAGTTTCATTAAAGAGATCAAACATCAAGACAAAAGAAGAGCTTTATCTATAAAAGCCCTCCAATAAACCTTTAATATAGAAAGAGCTACTATATTAATCTCAGTACACTGCTATTTTTCACTGTTCTACCTAAAGTGTTTTTCCAGAAGTTTTATATACGGTAGAAGTTTTGGCACAGGTATTCTTTAGGCATGACAGATCCGTTTGTAAATACCTTAAACTGACTTCTAAGTTACTTCTGGCAAGTTGTATCAGAATTCCTCATGAAATTCCCTTAAACAAGAGCAGTGTTTTTTCTTAAATGTGCCTTGAGAAAATGAATATAGAAAGTTTCATAAAGTGGCTTTATTTTTTTTAAGGAATATTTTGGACGACAGCATGAAGAAGTGAAGACAATGCTGTAATCATAACAGATCTTGGAAGAACACAGGAAATGTGTCTCAAGTCACAAGAAAAGCATTACAGAAACAAAAAAACCCATGTGCCACAATTTAATTTTCTTGCATTATTAAATAAAAATCTCAACATTAAAAACAAAGCTACTTACCTTTGCCAAATAGGTCAAGTTAATAATGAATGTGCAATAACCCCAGTCTTTGTAGCACCTTTACAGTGCACTTTGGTTTATGTTTTCATGAACTTGAAGTTCTTTTTTAAGATAGAAAGCAAGACTTTCAAGTGTCATATGATTATAGAAGCTCTGACTGTTAAAGCCAATTGCTTCCAGTGAAAGCAAGATTTATGAACAGTTAGCAGGTTATTGAGTTGAAACAATTGCTGATCAAGTAAATGTTACAAATATTCAACAGAGTAAATATTCCATTATTTTTCCTTGAAAAATGCCCTGTGCTACATGAAGGACACTCAAAAAATACCAGTTAGTGTGTTAACAGCTAAAAGTTACTGACACTGATATGCTGCTCTTATCTGAGGCATTAGTCCTACAGCAAACTCAATTCTGCATAGAACAAGCCCTGTTTGCTGATCTGGGGCACTCCCAGGGCTAGAAGGGACAGAGGCAGTTGGGCTTCAAGAAAGCACAGGCAGATTTATAACAGAGAATTTGTTGCCTCCTTTCTCTCTGGTAGCCATCACTTACAACCTCATTCCCACAAATGAGTTTGATCTCCTGTATCCTTAGGCTACCAAATACCAAGTTGTGTAGCTCTTAAATGGCAAGTTCTTCTAAACAATTCTCACTTATTTTCACAGCACCTACTATTCAAAAAGCTAAATAGCTACTGGAACTAGCACCCTGCTACTAAATACAGTGTTTCTGTACATCATCCACGGGACCCAACCTCAAAGTACATGATGTACTAACAGCCAGATTTCAACACTGCTGGAATGCAAAGCCTTGACCAGAAGTCAATGCTAGTATCCTATGTTTTGAAATGAAAAATGTCAGAAAAAACAGCAGTTGCTTCACAGAATGAATAAAAAGTACAACCGTGAGATTAAAGAAAAAACCTAGAAGGTGCTCACACCCTCAGGGGTTTGGCATTTTCTCCAATCTCAGCAAGACTCTTTAGCACATTCAAGTATAACATATAGGCCTATGTTAGGCTACACTGTAGAAAGCAAAACTGACAAAGATTTTAATCTCCATTAGAAAAGCTTAAGAGCACAGCATCTATTTATTTAATATAATATGCCAGAGTTTTACAAAGTCTCAATAAGGGGGGCTTTCAGAGTCTACCAGGCAATTTGGAAGGCTGCTAGGCTATTATGATAGCATTCAATATGTTTGAGTTTATATTGACAGTGGCACACACTACTTTGAATAACATTATTGTACAAGCTTCCAGTTGTTCATTATATCCCCCCACTTACTATTAGTCACAGCTGAGTACTGTAAGGCAGAAGGCAAGCAGCTGTCTAGGCAGAAATAGCATCAGTCTTCACTGCCTACTTCAAACTTGACAGAGTTTTGGAAGCCCTTGCAAACTTGTCTCTGAGAGAAAAAGGAGAAAAGAGTCTGGAACAGAATATTACACGATGCTAAAACAGCGCAAACAGAAAAACAGAAGCATCTTTACCTCTCAATTCACAAGTCATGTGGCAGAAGTGCCAGACCTGACACTTCCTCTCCTCCCAGCCTTGCTTCTGCTATATCAGTTTTCCCTTATCACTAAGAAGTTTTGGGTCAATCTAGACAAAAGTGCCCTGGAGTTAACAAGGAGTCTAACAGCAGAATAGGCAGCTACAGGAACAGCAGATAAGACTACTTACAGTGCTTTGCCCTGGTTTAGAATACATTGGCAGAAAATTAGTTGAGGTTTGTGGCCAGTTGTGTTGAAATACCTTTTATACTACAGTAGACACTTGACATTTCTTTCACCCAGAACTGTATTTCCTAACTTAATACCAGATGTATTTTGCTATCTCTTCTCAGCAATGTCTTAAATTGGAAGTTCCTAGGAGACAGGTGATGTTCAAAAGGGATAATAAAAGCAGTATATATGATGTAATTATTTCTGCTATTTAGTTATATTGTTAAACAGAAGTGGACTATCTGAGGCAACCAGGACTGCAAACTTGTTCTTCATCTTTATCTATCAGCAGATACTATGGCAGATTCCAAGAGTTAAAAGTAACTTTTTATTATATCACATCTAATGTGAAAATATTTTACCACTGTAGTTTTAAACCTTGTTTCCTCCAATCCTCACCGTTGATTGTACCTAGACAAGGTAACTCCAAGATTATATACCCAACAAGTGCAAAGCAGACAGCTAACTAACTCTGTTACAGCAGTGTGACTGCAACAGCAATCTCAGAGGAGAGTTAGTGAAACTTCATTTAAGTCAGACACATGCAGAAAAATCTGAAATTACCTACTCTGAGTGCTATTACAGAGTTTTTCCACTTATCAGTTGGTTTTTGAAAGGTTACTTTTACATTTATTCTAGTAAATACCTTTGTAATTATAATTTTCTTTGGCATCTAGCTGGTATTTGGTGGGCTTGATATTTGTACACATACATTACACTTCAAAATCTTCACTGAAACAGTTCACTATTTCCTCAAAAATGAAAATATTAAAGATGTAAGACTTTCTGAAGAAATATAAGTTCTGTTCCTCTGCCAAAGTTGATACAGTTTCCGTGAAAAGCAAACTCTCCTCTAGCCTTGCACCAATAAAACTGTGCAAATAACTCCAGCTCATAATCCGCTCCACAAGGTTTCAGCTGCTTCATAATAAATGGGTTACACCTTAATTCTTATGTCCTGCCCAGCAGCAATAAGTAGAGGGGTTGCATTGAGATCAATAGTGTGGCTAACTTCTACCTTAATTTATGAGCCAAGCAGAGTTTGAATTTTTACTAACTTGCCACAGCAAAACAAGTTAGTGTTCTGCCAGTTTTCTGTCACTTTTCTCAAAAGCTCAGGAGCCACAGGCACCAAAAAATCACCCTGCCAGCATTAATCAGCCAGTTCTTAAAGCACACTTGCCATAGAAAATACAACTAGTTCATAGTAGCAAAATGAAAGTTCATCTACAGATGCTTTATCCAGGGTGAAGACAAATTAGTTATTATTCTTTCACTATTTTTTGTCATGTTACAGTGATTTTGTCTATACTAAGTTTTTATTAGTGTGGAACCTGGTCATGTTCGGTGTAACGTGGTTTTTATATTTGAATTACTGTATTTTGGTAAGCATATAATTAGTGTTATTTTAGTTGACTCTGCTTTCCTTAATCCAATATTAGGAAAGCAATAAAAGGCTTGGAAAAAGACTAGGAGAGATACTGAAGCTGTTCTTCTCAGTAGTAAGCATAAAACACTTGCTTGTTTTGTTGGTATTTTTAAAGGAAAGACATCTTGACTATGTTCTCAACCCAACTCAAGGCTTCTATCACTAATTCCATTCAGTACTGAAATGAAAACTCAAAGAAATAGTTTCTCAATGATTGACTTAAATAAAATACACGAAAGTTGAGTAGGTGACAATCTACCAGGGCCAGCAAACTAAAAGCTTAGTATGGTACATATTTAAATTTCATGCATTAAAATTTTCTCCTTTTAAGATAAAATAACACTATTCAATCTCATAAGCAATGTAATTAGGGAGGTGTGGTAAAAAGAAACAAGGTAAAAATCACACATCCACATAATTTGAAAAAATTGAAACAGGATGGAACTGGACAGAAACAAGCCTGCCTCATTCACACCACAGAATTAACTTTTAGGAAGAACAAGATTTTTAATGATGCCTACAATTCAGCCTCAAGGTCCAGAGCTTTTGTGCTTTGAAAACAAGATTTCATTACTATTGGGTAGATATTACAGCAAACAGTTGGACTAATTTCCACAAGGATCAAATATTGCCAAGTTAAATGCTCTGCTTTATGGTAGACTAAAACAGGTTTTTTATTTTAACACTATAGCAACATCCACTAAGTTCTCACTGAGAAATTAAATTTCTCTAAGGTTTAAGATGTTCAAATGTTCCTTAAAAATACCGAAACTCACTTCCCTCATCTTGCAGAAAGTTAGATTATAGAAATTGGTGTGGCTCTTTATCTCAAATAATATCTATATGCTATCTTTTTCCATATTTAAGTCTCTCACAATCCTAGCCCCTCATATAATACTTGATTAAAACTTCTAAAAAAATTATAAAAGGTTAGAAGATTATTGCTTTCTAACAGAAACCAATTCTTAAGTTTTGGCACATTACTGCTAAAGAAAAGGTTAACAAGAGAAAAAAGAATAGAATACAAAGTAGTATTGGAACCTTTCTAGGAATTAAGTTAAAATGCACTTCAAACTAAGCCTTTACTTGATTGTTTTTTATAGCTATTATCATACCTAGTAATAGTCATCAAAGAGCTACCCATTCCACTCTAGTTATCAGGCCTATATTAATTTTTTTAAGGGAGAAACGTGTAACATTTAGAATTAATCATTAGCATCTTAAGAAAACCCAATAATAAACATTTGTGTCACTTCTCATGCTTTTTATAATGACAGCTATTTTGCAACTGCACACAGAAACAACAATCCTATGTTGCTCACAATTGAGTTCACAATTGAAGTAAATTGTGGAGTTAAAGTAGTAAGAATATGGAATGGAGAAAGAGAGCCTTGTGTGGCAGAGGTAAGAATGACCTGCAGGGATGGGCAGAAGCTTTCTTAAGGATTGGGAAATGCTTGTGTGGGTGTCATGGGTAGGAAGATCCCATGGTGGCATTCCTAAAGTGAGGGAGTAGCTTTTGGGCAGGCTTGCACTCTTGAGAAGTGAACTGCTGGTGAGCAGTGCTAGCTTGTTCCAGAGTGACACAGGCTTGTGAGCAGCTTCTGCTTGCTGTGGGACCAGTGGGAGTGAGGCTACAGCAGTGCTCAGAGGCTGAGGGTCTCCTCTGAAGCAGACTTTTGGGCTTGTGGAGAAAGTACTCTCTGGATGGTGTTGGGAAAGGTTTCCACAGGAAAGGTGCAGAGCAGTATATGCCTTCCACAAGAAGGGCGCACACCAGATGGTGTTTATCAGCAAAATGCCTTGTATAAGCATTTGGGTGGGCTTGCAGTCTATGGAAAAGGGATCAGGGGAGGGGGAGAAGGCTGGGAAGAGACAAATGGACTCATTAGAAGGAGAAGATGCCTTTGAAGGTGGAAGGGTGAAGTGCTCTGTGGCAGCATGGGGCCCTGGGTGAAGGGATTGAGGAAAGCTTGTGGGCTTGTGAGCAGTGAGTTGTTGGGGGAAGGACAGCCTTCTGAAGACTTGCACATGCATGTGTGCATCTTCCATATGGTGTGAAGGTGGTGGGGGTGGCAGGAGAGCACTCTGATGCTATTCATGGGCTGAGTGCCTCATGTTTTGGTGGGCTTGTCTTCCAAGAGAGGACCTGTTACGTGAGGGGGCCCTTACCCGTGAGTGGAGTGCCTCGTGTTTGCAGCAGGCTTCCAGTCTTGTTAAAAGTGGCTGTTTGGAAAGCAGTAGCCACCACTAAGTGAGACAGAAGGTCCTGAGAAAGGAATGGGGATATGTAGGGAGGAGCCTTGTCTAGTGGTGACAGGGCATTGTGAGGCAAGGCATGGTGGGCAAAAGCTTGCTGTGATGATTGTGAGCAAAGTGAATCCTGTTAGGGCAGGCTTGCAGCTATGGAAAAAGGCACATTCTGTGGGGTAAGGAGAAAGCCTTGTCCTGGAGTAACCACTGCTTTTGCATAACTTCCATTTGTTGTGTGGGCCTTGTAGGCAGCAACAGTGTGATGAGCGCAGTGATTTATGTTTGAGGGAGTCTCATCTTGAAAAAAGGCCATTCCAGCAAGTGGGGACGGGTGCCTGTGAATGGCAGATGCCTGTAACAATGACAAGCTGCATGAGGGATGACTTGAACTTCTGTGCATGACCTTCTTAGTTAACCACCCACCTCTCTTCTCCACATTTTAGGTTTATTTACAGGGAGAAGCAAAGCAAAAAACAACCTTAGAAAAAGTTAAAATCATATGCTATCTATGGACTAACATCTTACTTACTTACATCTTACTTACTTACTTACATCCATGGATTTTTAGCTGCCTCCTTAATGCTTAAACTGACCACATTTCTCTGGAAAGACTTGAGACCCACTTTAAAACAAGTTCACAGAAAACTGCTGTAGCCGAACTCAGATTTCAGCTTCTACTCTGACTATTCTCTTCTGACTCCCTGCTTTAGAACACATGGTTTTGGGACTATTTCGTTTAAATTTGTCATTTCTTTTCCCCATCCTTCTCCTTATTATTGTCTAGCAGAGACACAAGCTCTCCAGTGCCCAGCCAGCTCACATCCATTCTTAGCACCTACCTGTTTCCAGTCACTTCAATTCAGCAGGGATTTTTGTTTGCTGTTGTCTTAATGCACAATCCAGATGGAACTAGAAGGATAAAGCAGTGCAGTTAAGTTTTGCAAGGTGATTTTCTGAAGCTGCAAGTGCTTGTGGTGCTTGGAGGGCTCTACTGGTGTGCTACAGCTGGCTATAGTGCCCAGGGTAAGAATCCCAGACGTTTTTCTGTCTAATGCTGTTGTTCTTTTTAGAATTTGGACTGAGGCTGGTATGGGTTATAATTTAACTTGATTGGTATGAAACTACTTTCATTCCAAATACTGCCAAGCACACTGTCATACTTGGGGTGTTCAGAGACAGGGCAAAGGTGACTGATAATGTCCAAATTTTTTTGTTTGCTATAGAAGAAAGAGGTGGTGGGCAAAAGTTGAAATGAAGAGAAGGAGGAAAATCTGACAAGTGAGTATGGTACTTTAACACCTAAATAGTGTTTACTTGAGATGTAGTTTATAGGTTCATCTTCATGAAAACCTATCAAGGGTAACAGCACTGGAGGAATTATTATAAAGTGTCTTCATGCTGAATATTGCAATTCATAACTGTATGAATGTATTGGTTTCAGAGATACTGTGTGCTGTCATAGTAATTAAAAGATAATTTTATTTTACATTAATTTATTTTTTATGGTTATTTAGGATTCTCTTAAGCATAATTAAGATGTTCGTGTTTGGCTGCAGCAACAGGTAAAGATGGGATCTGTCACCTGTTGCAATCATTGATTTTTAAGTTTCAGTGTTCTTATCTTAACAGCACTATTTTGAAGACTTCTCTTTGCTGGGCTGTTACTCAGCTATGCTGTGTTTGTAGATCTAGGTTCTGAAATGCTGATATAAATAAACTGACCCAGTTTATTGAAACAGAGAAGTGCTCTGTGAGGTGTTAAGCTTGATTCTGCCTGGTGTGGTGCACTCTGGACTGCTGTAATCTTGGCATGTACTGCTAAATTTTTATTCCACCAAAACCAGGTTTATCTTTAAATGCCTCAAGGTAGTGCTTCTGGGAGCTGATTGCTATGGTAATCCTGCTCATACAGTAGGCTTGTGAGTACACCTACACTCAGGCAACTTCAGTGGCTGCAGATAAAGTAGGTGACACAGCAGTCACTAGGAAGAGCTGCAATGGCTTTGTTTAACACGGAGTTTTTTGTTGATTGGAACAGATTGCTTTCAATGTCCAGAGTTTTTATCAGAAAAGGAGCTGAGTGAACAATCTGTTGCCTACTTATACTCTTAAGGTTTTCACTGGGGGAGGTAGAAAGCTGTAAGCCAGCCTTGGAGGTCTACTCTTGCCTGTTAGGAAGACAGCAGTCTATGAATGACTCAGTTGGAACATGGCAAAGTGGAGCTTAGGTAAAGGAGATATTGCTGCCATCAGCCATCTTATCTTGGTGACCAGTTCAGAAGTGAGGAAACTGTGTAGTGCCTGAGACACCCAGATGCCTTCCTATAGCAATCAATGATTTGCAACAAAAACGCCTCCTTCATGGCCCAGCATGAAAATATGGAAACTTTTACATCTTTTCTGGGGCGAGGATAAAGCATAAAATACCTTTTATATATGTTCAAGGCAATTGAGAAATTTGTGCTATCTTTTAACAGTGTCTTCCCTTCTCAAAGCAGAATGTTTTCATACTTATGTTTTGCTACCATTTTTACTTTATTTTTGGTAAGAAAGTAGGTTCTCTGTTGTCTTTCTCAGTAGCTGCTTTGGTTTTGGTGATACTGAATAAGATTAAGAATTTTAAGTTGTTACCGAAGAAATTTAAAATAGTCCTTTCTGAGTAGGGTAATGTAGATTTAGAGATTCTTTGCAGTAGTATAGCTTCCATAGAAAGATTTGGGCATTGGGGCATCTCCTGTTTTAACTGAAGAGTCTATTGTGTTCTGTCCTGCTTAATCTTTTAGTAACATTTGGATGAAAAGGATGATTGCCCTCAAATGTGTCACTTTCAGCTTGACTTTTTCATACCACAGGTAGCGACTCTTCTAAACAGCAATAACTTTGTATAGCATTGCAATAAAGTTTTTGCCAGCCTGACCTTTCAGCATGTAAAAGATTGCAGGAGCCAATAGAAACACCAAGTGAGGGACAAAATTTGGTGTTCACAGTTACAATTGTTTGTGCTTGATTGAAGGTATTTACATTGCAATTAAATAGTATTTTTGTATAAATTTCATAACAGAAAGGAAATATTCAGTGATGTGTCATAATAACAGATCAAATCTCTAGAATGTGTTTAGTTACATGTTTAGAAAGCAATGGACTCTGCCTACATCTCCAGATTACTTCTCTTGCCTTTGCTAGTAGCTGCAATGCAATGGGAACAGTAATAGCAGAGATAATAAGAGTACACAAGGAGGAAAATGTGTGTAAAGCACACACCAATTTTACCTTTTTTATTGTTGTCTCGCTTCTTTGCCAGGATTCCTTTTGTGGTACATTGCTTTTGAAAGACTCTAAAACAGACATCATCATCATGTCTGCTTAACAGCTGGACTGCTGTGTTTGCTGAGGTGTATCTAAAAATGGTGCTGGGCAACAAAGTTCAGAGATTTTTAGAATAACAATAGTGACTGGTGGCCACATCTTTGAAGACAATTGGCCTTCTCACTGTAAAAGATAAAGACCGCTATAAGTGCTTCTCTGCATAAAACTTTTGTACTGATGATGGATTAATCTTAAGTGGCGTCTTGAAAATGTCCCACTAGAGAATAATTGGACACTTTTTTGTGAATAGTTACATAATGATTTTTCCATTTGTCCATCTGGATTCAATTTATCAGCTTAATTTTCTTTCTATAGAAAACCTAGTGGGTTTTCTGTATTTCACTTCCATATCTGACTCCTTCAATTCTGTGAAACATGTCCTTATAACTCACAATATAATTTGAGGACAGTGTCCTAAATTATTGTCTAATCCACAGATGGGCTTATTATCCTCAAAATATTTTCCAGAGTGATTGTTGGCCCAGAGCAAAACAAGATTAAATGGTGTTCACAATGGGTTACTTCAAAGTTGTTTTGATTTTTCCAGTGTGTTGTGTCTTGTTTTTAAAGCCAAGCATTGTGGATTAACCCCAGTTAGCAAGCCAGTGCAGGCACCTGCTCACCTGGAAGGTGGAACTGAACTAGTCTGTCACCCATAAAATAAAACAGTTTGTAGGACTTCTGGATGTAGTTTAACACCCTGAAACTCAGAGCAAGTAAAATTCTGGTAGGCTGAAATAGCCTGTAATTTACATTTTTATGCATGAGCAATTTGTTTCCATGAA